AGCGAAACGGCATCGTTTTGCTTCCAAACGACGTCACTTCGTCTACAAGCCCCTCCTCTGGTCAACCTCAAAGTCAAAACGCATCCCTTTGTGTGTTTTAGGTTTTGGCTCTACCAAAACTACGTAGTTTTAGTAAAAACTACACCCCATCTTGTGTTTTAATCCAAAATACTATTAAATGCTAAACAAAATTAATACTTGGAAATAAATGATTGAACTATACTAGAAATAAATTTATTAAGAACAAGAAAATAATTCCCGTGAATTCTGTGAGGGCATAATTGGAAATTAGATCCCAAATTTTTTCGAAAATTTCACAGAAAGAATTACCAAAAATCGGGGCGTTACACCTTAAGTAGAGGGAAATCCTCCAGAAGAGGTTTTCTGACACAATTGATAAAGTTCCAGAAGTAACTCAGGTACCTGAAATAATTATGTATGGTGAGATCTCAATTATAGTGTCAGGAATAAGAGGGAACCGACGTGAAATAACCGTCGACGGAATATTTATTTTATATAACGCTAAATATTTTGAAATAAAATGAGGATCATGAACCTACATCTATTAATGAATGTAGGCGCAGTATGAATGGTCAAATTGAGAAACGTGATTAAGGCTGTGTTAGAATCGCTTGTAAAGCGAGACATTTTCCGGACCTGTAGTCCGTTGTGAAGCAAGATACTATCCGGACCTGTAGTCCGTACACCAGATGGTGTGGAACCAGTCGATTGAAAATGGGTATTTGTGCGAAAAGAGAATTATAATAGAGAGATACAAAGCACGGCTTATCGCACAAGGTTTTACCCAAACGACTTGGTATTAATTGTGAGGAGATAGATATACTCCCCTGTGGTGGATGCAATTATTTTTGGTAAGTCTGGCATAATGTGAAAAGAATTAGAGATGCATCGAATGGATGTTGTTACAGCCTACATCTATGGATCCATAAGTCATGACATATGCATAAGAATCCCTGAAGGATTCAAGTTGCTTGAAGCAACTAATTCCCAAGAATATACAAATATTAAGCTACATTGATCCTTATATGGTTTAAACCAAATTTGAGTATGTATTGTATGATTATTCTTGCATATATATTTGCACTTATTATTGTAGCTTACGTTTATATACTATTATTGGAACTCCTAAAGAAGTCTACAAATGCTGGATGTAAATAAAGAACTTGAGATGAAAAATCTCATCAAAGAATTAGATTGGTCCTGGAATACCCTCTAAAAGTGCAATTTATATTGCTAAGCCTGAAGCTTTTGACTTGAGCTATTTGTAAGATATAACTTTGCTCTTATCTTCTGGGTATAACAGATGTGATATTAAGTTAACCCTGTAAAACCCGAAGAGAATATAGTTGGTCTTTGCAGATGCAGGTCCTTTATTTGATCAACGTAAAGCATAGACAGGCATATGCTATAACTTTACACATATAGCTGCTATACCGTTGCGACCACAAAAAGCAAGATGGAAAGGATGGCATTCCAACGACGAATTATTGGGTAAAAAAGTTTTTCTTGTCCCTTCACTTTTTTGTTTTCGCATTCGTTGTCCCTCTTCCTTTTTTTTCACTCTTCATGTCCCTCAACTCTTGAATTACCGGGCCACCATGTCCTTTTGACCCCCAGCAGCCGGTTGGGAGCTGTGGCGCTGACACGTGTCCATGGGGGCCCACTTCAGTTGATTCTATTTTTCTTTTTTCTTTTTTCTCTTTCTTTCCTATTTTCTATTTTTCGAAAATCCGGCTTTTATGTTTTATTATATTAATTTTTTAATAAATAGAAGAGAAAAGAAATTTAACTTGAATTGCATTTATCATTAATCAAGAGCAATACGTTTATCATTAAAAATATAATAGAATAAAATAAAAATAAAAAATAAATAGATCTGAATTAGGGACAAGCTTTCGACAAAAAAAATTAGGGACAAGCCTTTTATTAATGCTAACAAATTGAAAAAAAATAAAAGGAAATCAAGAAACCAAACACCCACCCCGGAGCTCTTCTCCAGTACTCCACCATGTGTACACCAACACCACCATCTTGAACAAAGCTTCTTCAAAACTAAGGCCTCCTCATCATGAACAAAGCTTCTTTAAACAACACCCCATCCCTCTCAGGCATTTCATCGAATAGCTTCCTAGCATCCGTTATATTCCCGCACTTGGCATACATAGAATGATCAATGTAGTTCCAGAATTGAAGCAAATCCAAGACGAAAACACATTACATTTCATTCGCACAAGATAACACTAGATAAACACAGTCATGTTGTTGTCACCAACATGAGCCAGAGAATCAAGGTTGAATGTGAGATGAACAAAACCAGAAGCTCTCTTACATTGTACCGAGGATCAAGCAAATTCTGCAGTTTATTTATTCCAATGACAATGGAGAAGAACTATTGACGTACGGCCAATTGTGAATGAGCACAACAACAAATCAACAGCAGTTGTTGATTCCAATTAGTACTCCATTCTCAGTTTCAAATTGGTTGCTTTTTGGCATGCCTTAGGCAGAAGGCTTTCATCCGCTCAAGGCCATCTTCCAGAGTTGCTGGGTCAACCGCAAAACTTATGCGAAACCAATTCTTCATCCCCACTGTAGTATAGCACCAACCGCGTGGGTTTGGGTAGCTTGAGACCCGGATCGGCAAGCCTCGATCAGTATCGAAACGCTGCCGTACGCGAAGATCGCCCACCCGTTGTCGGGATCGGCGGTGATGGCCTCGACCGCGATGGCGGCTTTCTCCTTCAATGCCATGGACCCAGATTCCAATGTTCTCAAGAGATGGCCCAGCCTACCTTCTTCGAACACGATTTTCCTCGATTCGTCGCCGGCGGAAGCCAGGATGGACACGACGGTCACCGCCTGCTCGCGTTGAGTACCTTGAGCAGCGACTCCAAAGCTTTCCTCTTGAACTCGACGCCGCCAATTTGGAGGCGGGTGAAGAGGTCGTGGATGAAGAAGACGAGGTTGTCCTTGTCGGAGCCGGGGGCGGGGTGGGAGAGGACGATGGCGCCGGACTGGTGGAGGACGCCGGATCGGAGGAGCAAGTCGAGGTCGTGGAGGTGGTTGGAAAGGGAGGCGATGTCGAGGTCGCTCCGGAAGAGGAGCTTCCCGCCGGGGAAGGAGGAGGAGGAGCATTGGCCGGAGAGGGACTGATTCCTTTCTTTCTATACAGATCCTCCACCCAAATCCGAGCCACCAGTTCACAGTGGCAGTGGGGTGAAGGAGGGAGCAGAAGCCTAGGGTTGGGATTGATTGGACAATGGATGAAGAAGGAGAGAAGAAAAAAGAAGAGGAATGAAGAAGAAAAAAAAAAGGTGAAGAAGTAGAGACCGGTGAAGAAGAAGAGAGTAAAAAAAAGGAGAAAAAAAATATTTATTACAAAAATTAATATAATAAAACCTAAAAGCCGGATTTTCGAAAAATAGAAAATAGGAAAGAGAGAGTAAAAAAAAAACAGAATCAGTTGAAGTGGGCCCCACAGACACGTGTCAGCGCCACAGCTCCCAACCGGCTGCTGGGGGTCAAAAGGACATGGTGGCCCGGTAATTCAAGAGTTGAGGGACATGAAGAGTGAAAAAAAAGGAAGAGGGACAACAAATACGAAAACAAAAAAGTGAAGGGACAAGAAAACCTTTTTTACCCGAATTATTGTCTAATTGAAGGACGGATACATCAAAAGTGATCGGACAAAACATACGTCACCAAAATGTCACCAGAAGTTGACAAAAATGATTGGCCTATGACTATATCAATAAATCAAGTGAGGCCAAAATGAGGGGGAGTAGAATACGCACTGCATTCTTTTTTCCTTCACCAAGTTTTTATCCCACAGGGTTTTTCTTGGTAAGGTTTTTAATGAAGCAATTATTTCAAAAAGTGTATTCTACCCAACGTACAACAGCATTCAAGGGGGAATGTTATAAAAAACGTGATGAATACTGTTACACCCACCTAGATATTTCTCTTGTGTATATATTGTACTGACATGGATATGAAAGAATGAAGTTCTTCCTCTCCATTTTTCTACTGTTTCTCCTTCTTCTTCCTTTCTTCATCTCTATCCTTCTTCATCAATAAAGAAACACATAAACAAACACTATATTTATAAGACTCCGGAATCTTGAGAAACGGTAGGCGGTACTGGTTTGACAGAGTAGCCCCGGATAGTTTCGTTGGATTATTATATTGACTGTTAGGTTTCATCCTAACTTCCATCAGAAGAAAGACTGCTTATCAATTTCTCAACTGAAAGAGACCGGTGAAGTAATCACTATTTTAACCAGGACACTTTTGGAGAGTACATACTGTTAGAATACAAAATTATTTATGGAACTTCATCCATCATTTAAACTTTTGGTTGAAATGGTAACATACCTAGAATTTGTCATTGCTAAATAAGCAGGTTATTAACCTGGACAAAGCGTGTTGTCGTAGATTATATCCATTGGCAACTTTATTTTTAACCTTGGACATCCTCCGGTTATTAAGTTTGACTAACCTCTACTTGTAAGAGCATTGACAAGGAAGCAGTCACGGCTTGGACAGGCTCCTTGACGATTCATAGGAAAACCTCTAGTCCATACGATGTCAATGTGGCAAAAGTCTGATTTGCGGTAGACCATTAACATTAGATAATCATTCTTTCACTTTGTTCCACCTTATTTTTAGGCTAGTTACTGATTCTAATTGCCATTACCAAGGAATTCGGGTCAGCTTCGTAGGTACTATGACCAGAAACGACCGACTCGAAGCCATGAGCTATATATCAAATCACCTATTTCCACAAGTTGGGTAAATCTCTCTCCCTCACTCTCCCCCTCCACGGTAACACCACATAATAAGATCATGCCAACCATGCAATCCACCTAGTAGCCTTCATAAGTCCTGGACCTCTCTCCCTTTCTCTTCACAAAGTCAAAACTTTCTACATTGTCCGGACTCATTCGATCAATCGATCATCTCTAAGTCTATCAAATAAAATGGCGCTAGCCATGTTGGCTCTTCTTTTCCTTTTCTTCCGTACATCATTTTCTGCCTCCGACATGTCAATCATCGACTACGATAAGGATTACAATTTGGGTGATGATTACCAAAGCTGGAGAAGTGACGATGAGGTGATGAACATATACGGGTGGTGGCTTGCAAGAAATGGCAAAGCATACACTTGCCTACAAGAGAAAGAAGCCAGATTTGAGATATTTAGGAGTAATTTGAGGTACATTGATGAACAAAATTCTCTAAATCGCACGTACAAGTTAGGGTTGACGAAGTTTGCTGATATTACAAACGAAGAATACCGTGCCATATATTTGGGCACTAGGTTCGATGCTAAACGTAGAATAATGAAGTCGAAAAAACCGAATCCAAGGTACATGAATAGTGGTCACAAATTGCCTGTACATGTAGACTGGAGACTCAACGGTGCAGTTAATCCAATCAAAGATCAGGGTGATTGTGGTAAGTGGTTAACTTCTTCCTTCATTTCTGGCCTTTTTGTTTTTCCAATTTGTCATGCTATCGTTTCCATTTTAATTTTTAACAAGCTTATGCATTTCACTTCCATGAGTTTGACTTTACAGCTCCAATTTTGCATGGTTTTGCCTCCTTCTACTTGTCAGATATAGTTGTCTCATTGGATGAAGTTCAAGTCTTTTGAACAAAGGATTGAAAAGATTGCAACCTGATTCTTATTGATACATGATTTATCCAAAAAAATTTTTGTACTAGGGACAAATTAAATTGTACGGTGCTACCAAGTAATATGCTTAGTAGTAATATTATAACCAACAAAAAATCTTAAAATGAAAAAAGTAAGCAACTAAAAAGAATGTTGCAATGTAAATAAAAAATGCTAATGCTCACTTTTTGCACAAAGAATAATAAAAAATTGAAACAACCTTCTTTTTAAGAATATAATAATGTTTTCTAAGCCTTCTCTTATGCTACTATTACTTGATGATTACGATATAGTTGAGAAATAAACTACTACTGTTTTTAGGATTTCTCAAATGTTTTTTTTTTTCTTTTGGGACTATTATTTATAGAACCGAAACATTTCTTCTTGTTCTTTTAACCGAGAAGCAACCGATTTCGTTCTCCTTATAAATAGTTCTTGTGAGGATTGGAGCAATAATGCAAGTAGCTTATTGTTTGTCCCAGTGGAAGCTAGTAGCTTGGAGGATGTATTCATTGGGATTTCTTTGCCGATTACCAGAAATTCGGAAGTGAAACAATTAGACAGGGATCATCTGAATGGGGCAAGGCCTAATTTAAGAAATGATGGGCCAATGTTGTCGGCCCGGAATCCCAGTTCCTACCTAGTTTGGATTAGAGCTCAGAAATATTCACAAAATCCATTTATTTTAGTGAACAAAGCCGAGCCGAAGCCTAAAAGGACGAAATGAATTATTCACAGCTTCGAATCCAGAAACCCATTATATTCCAGGGCCAGGGCAAAATAGAAGCATTACCCCTTACTTAATTCTCACTTCGGAGACTAAGATGATGTCTTGATTTTCATTCTCCAGGTAGTTGCTGGGCGTTTTCGACAATAGCTGCAGTAGAAGGCATAAACAAGATTGTGACAGGCGAGCTTGTGTCTCTATCAGAACAAGAACTTGTCGACTGTGACAGGACATACAATGCAGGATGCAATGGAGGCCTCATGGACTATGCCTTTCAGTACATCATCAACAATGGTGGCATGGAAACTGAACAAGACTATCCATACCTCGGCGTTGATGGAATATGTAACAAAGAAAGGGTCGGTATACGTATTCCCCCGACTCTGAAACTTTAGACCATATCACTTAAATTATTAGCTTAAGCATTTTATAATATATAACCTTTTGAGAAAAAACCTCTTTTGCCTTCTTAAGCTCTTATTTTTCCTGTTTGATTAATTGCTGCAGAAGAATACAACGGTTGTTAGCATTGATGGGTTCGAGGATGTTCTGGCTTTCAATGAGAAAGCTCTGCAGAAAGCTGTGGCACATCAGCCTGTTAGTGTTGCCATTGAAGCCAGTGGCTTGGATTTACAATTCTACAAGTCGGTGAGTTCATCCACTCCTCTCCCAACTTCTAACGCCTATATTACTCGGTGAAAATGAATGGATAGTTGGTGAAGTGAAATCATGGAATTGGGTTTCTATCAACTAACATGGGATTAAATGTTGCATATGTCTGCGAAAGAAAAGATGGGTTTAATTCGGTGGGGACGACAATATATATCTTTTCACTTTTGTAGTTCAGTGCCATAATTATTCCTGACAAGCCCTGAAAATGCATGCATCTTGAGACTTTCTTCTTTTTCCCTGTTGATTTTTCCAGGGTGTGTTCACAGGTGACTGCGGGACAGCTCTGAACCATGCAGTTGTGATTGTTGGATATGGAACGGACATTAATGGTGTAGAGTACTGGATAGTTAGGAACTCATGGGGGCGGGAATGGGGTGAAGATGGATATATTAGGATGGAGCGTAATGTGGATTATACAGACACCGGAAAGTGTGGGATTGCAATTGAGTCTTCGTACCCTACCAAGACCGGTCGGAATCCAGCCAAGTTAACTAGAAAGCAGGCAAGAAAATAACTGATGCTTCAAGGCTCTTGGCTGTGCGAAAAAAAAAAAATCAAAGAAAAGATAAAAACAATAAAATGGAGGCTGTTACTGGTTTGAAAAACCAAGGGAAGCAAAGCAACTAGAAGTGATGATGGTTTGTGAAGTTGCTTGTTGATTTGTCATGTGTGATAGCTTCTAATTCTTTCTGGCCCGAGATTTTGAAAAGAAGCGGAGCTCATCATTGTTAACTTCACCTAATTTTCTAACCAAAAAATGTTGTCATTAATTTCATTTACTTCGGACACTCGCAATTTTAATTACCGGGTATTCTGGTGTATCGAATAACATATTTTGGGAGTTGTAAATCCTGTGTCTTTTCAGCACTAAAGCTCTCAAATTTCCTGAAGGCTAATTAGCACGCGATGCCACTTAGAATATAACTTATTTTGGGGGCCTTGATGTAAAGGTTACATCGGTTCATACTATTTCAAAAGTATCGTTTCGGAGTCTGTACTATTTTTTGTCCTTTTTATGGGTCTGCAATCTTATTTTTCGTTCTTCTTAGGGGGACTCGGGCAGCCCGCTGATGATGTGGACTGCCCGAGACCCCTAAAAGGGACGAAAAATAAGAGTATAGACCCGTAAAATAGAGAAAAAATAATACAGACCCCCAAACGATACTTTTGAAATAGTATGGACCATATATATACGATTTACCCATAATTTATTCCTTTTATGCACTTCGGGTAGCTGGGAGATGACGTAGCCACCCGCTCGAGCCTACTTGACAAGTATCATGATTCTGTTGGTGCCAAATAAAAAAATTATCACACCATTTTCATTTTTGTGGAATCCACTTTATTTTTCAAATACCCTAATGGATCCCACAAAAATTATCATGCGGCAGTGTACCTGTGTTAAGTCTATCACACCATTTTCATTTGAAGTCTATCAGACATTGTGGCACCGGTTGCCCCTTAAATAATTAAAATGAAATGAAAACGTTGCATTTGAAGTCTATCAGACCATTTTCATTCATTATTGGAAGAACTCGAGGAGTCAATTGGCATAAATTAGAAATGTTAAATGCTTAATGAAACATCAGGAGGGATGTACGAACCATTAGAAGCCTGAGTCAACATGCGCCTCTTTTTTCTGACCTATGGCAGCGTGCGAGACGCGTATGCTGCACGTGCTGTCCACCATGTATTTTTTTTATTATAATTTTTTTTGAATTTTTGTAGTACAAATTTAATTTACTAAATTGTTAACAGAAAAAATTTATTAAATTGTTTACAGTAGCAGCAGTGTCTCCTCCCCGAGCGATCCGAGAAGGGGTAAATCGCATATATTTGGTCCGTACTATTTCAAAAGCATCATTCGAGAGTCTGTACTATTTTTTATCCCTTTTACGAGTCTATATTCTTATTTTTCGTCCCTTTTAGGGGGTCTCGGGCAGTTCACGTTATCAGCGGGGCTGCCCGAAACCCTCTAAAAGAAACAAAAAATAAGAATACAAACTCGTAAAAAGGACAAGAAATAATACAGACCCCAAACGATACTTTTGAAATAATACAGACCCTACAATTTACTCATGTTCAATTACCATGAGCAGTATTAGAGGTGGCATACGGGCATTACTGCCTTAATTTCTGGGGTCTGCCTTTCTAACTAAGTTGATGTGCTAGAAGAACTGGATTCCACGCGAGACATCTCCTTTCTGGACCCTGACAAATCAAAAATCATGAAGAGTTAAACCTTTAACCAAAACACCAGTTGTGTCTTGATTATCCATAAAAATCACATTACTTGCATTTTGTCTGCAATTGACGTATGCATATAAATGTATAGGTTGTCAACCACTCAGCCACCACTTGGTCAGACCCATATATGAAAATGACCTCATATGGAAATACCAACTAATAAATGATTTGAGTCGCGATCACATATGATCAGTTTACCAATTGGATGGATAAGCTTCCAATAACCTTGTAAAAAACATTACTCTAGCATTAAAAAAAAAAAAGAACATTACTCTAAATTATCAGGGAAGAATTTTTTTTTTTCAGAATTTGGCCCCGACTAATCCAGACTCGACCCACGCACTTAGTTATGATGAGTGAGTCTCCACATTGGGATTTTCAGAAGGAAGAAATTCTTTGAGCTATGAGAAGAGCCAGCCTTATAACGTTTCTAATGATTTACTCCAATGCAGTAAAAATGTCCATCTCTTACATTCGAGTAAAAAGTTTTTGCGATCAAATAAGCTTGGAAAGCTGAATGCCTGATCAGTCATTCTGATTATATACATTAGAGGACCTCAGTGAAAGAAATGGATATGTTTTCTTGACAATTCAGTTTTCTTAGTTAACTTTGCAATTGGCAAATATATATTGTGCAGGAATAAGTTGACGCTGCTTAAACTTTTTTTTTTTTTTTATCATGACGCTTCTTTGTTTTAAGAGTAGCTTAGAAGAAAAAAATGACTTAGCAACAATATCTTTAACTTTGGTAATAATAGCCAGGGCAATGCATAATTGGATTGGCACCTATTCCCTACCGGGTTTCCAGCTTATTCATGTCCCACTCTCATATCTAATTCTTGCCTTCAACGTGATTTGTTTAATTGGATTCACACATCACCTCCATCTTTTATTTAGACGTGCAAAATAATTCATTAAAGTTTTGCTTGGGTCAATATTCAATAAATCGATTGGCGCAATAAGCATCAATTGGAAAATAAGATTAGGAAAGCATTCATATTTTATTTGTTTTGAACCCAAGGACATACACATTTTTAAAGTATGATGTCAATTTATGGGTCCTAAGCTTTCGTTTTTTTAAACTCATATGGACCCTAAACTTTCTGACAAGCATTATTAAGAGCAAGAACCTTATGCAATAAAGAGTTCTCGACCAAATTAGCTTGCCATATTAGGGTCCACAAATTGGATTTTGAAGGTTAGAAACTGAAGGTGATTCACAAGTGCAGTGCAGATAGATATGTTAGAATCATTACAGTAATCAAAAGCAAACACAGAGCAAAAGCTTAATACGCAGGATCGAGTGAGTTTTATGAGCACCATAAATAAAAATTAGTTGCTCAATGTGTAAAGGAAGTGTATTCTTCTTAAAAATAACACAGTACATTTCATTTCTGTAGCCGCTTGTTTGACATTATCTTTTCAATAATAATAATAATAATAATAGTGGTAATAACAAGAGTTTTTTTTGATAATATGAATATTCCAGCTCGACAAGCCAGACTAATCTTATCCGTGGCACGACACCTAATTTCGCTCCCTAGGCATTTAGCCTAGGACCACAAGCGGAGTCCAGCGTGGTTTACCACTCCCAACAAGTGTATTTTTCATACCTCTACGTTTCTCCGGATCGAACCCGAAACGTGTGAGTTAAGGGGTCGCAACATACTTAAACCCCTGCGAGTTAGAGTTGAATTCAAATAATCTTTTTATATTAAGCGTGCTTTCACATAAAACTTTGAACTTTTGTTGTCGAAAAAAGGTATTGAAAAGTTGGCAAGTAATGAAATATACTTTCAGAAAAGAAAAGGAATATTCCTAAATTATTCTCTTTCTCGTCTCAACCAGAATTTAACTTTGGCTTAATACCTGTTTTGGCCCCACAGCAACTATTTTGATTTTAGCCACATAGTTTTAAATTTTTTGATTTTGTACCTTAGTTTGGCAATAATTAGGTATTTTTACCCACTAGTCCATTCCAACAGGTAAAATTGATGACTTGTAGGTTGGCTAACACATGTAATTCCTCTTTTGATAATTTTCTTTCCTACAAAGTCACCTAAACCGAATCGCCAAAACAAAATTTGATTTATGACCCGATATAAACCGATTTTGTTTCCTTCTTGTATTTGTTTTCGGGTTCTGTATCGGGTCGTAAATCGTTTTTTTTTGTTCGGGCAATTTGACTTGGGATGATTTCGTAGGAAAGAAAATTACTAAATGAGGATTTTTACCTATTGGAATGGGTTAGAGGGTGAAAAAACCTAATCATTGCCAAACTAAGGTGCAAAATCAAAAAATTAAAAGTTAGGTAACTAAAATCAAAATGGTTGCCAAACTAAAGGGCAAAAAAAGTATTAAGCCTTTAACTTTTGTTGGGTATTATAATGGTATTATGTTAATCTAATGACAGTGGAAATGAATTATTAATTAGTAAAATTATTAGTCTTTTCGTTCTTCCTAATTAAGGGATCTGAGCGCATATCATCACACAAGACCATTTTTTTTTTTTTAAAGAACATGGTATCCTTTATCTCTCGATACATCGAGCAAGAATATTGGCCGATGAATTATCGGTCTTCAGATGAGGTAGATACCTCTCCCGTTAAATTTTGAAGTAACGACACCATCTAATGTTTGACCTTTACCTGAAATGTTTTTCTCAAAGAGGTTTCTAGCTGTTAATTTGGTATGTGTTTTGTTGATGTTCCAGAGGTTATGCTCTAGATTAGGATTGAAAGCTACTTAAAGTAGTTGAAACGCCCCGACCCGTATTTACCGTACACTGTATGCGACACTGATGCAAACTATGGATCCGAGCCCTGTCCAAGGGATAACGCCGCAGCCTGTCTGAAATGCACCAATCCTGTACCACAAATAACTCATCCTACGGGATGAAAGCCCGCAGGTGAGGGGTGAGTCCGAAGTGCTCACCGACGAAGGAAAGACAATCAATATTCAACTATAATTACTCAAGTCAAAAACAGGTAAAAACCATCAAAATACACCAGACCGAAAACAAATCAAAAGACTCAAACAAAATTCCAAATTCCAATTTTATCTTCTCCGGGCCCCGCCACGGATAAGCTAGAGGTCAGACCTGGTTATCAACGTATTCCGGGTGCCAGACCAAATCCAGAGAACCCAGGGATCGACATCCCAAAAATAATCACGGGATAGACATCCCAAGCATAGACATGCTTATCACAAGAACCCAGGTCACGGCCACCACGAAACAGTCTTAAACCATCGAGTCGTACCACTACT